ATTTATAATTCTTTTTTTTACAAAAATTTTAATTGATCATGTACTAATTTTATTTATTTTGTCTTTCCTTTCTCTATTTCCATCATTTACTGTACTCCTATTGGTCACACTTATTCAACTTATAATTTTTTTCTTTAAAGTCAATTTTTGGTAATAATTTTATCTTCAAACCATAATTTATTTAAGAGTTATATTTATTAAAGAAAAACTTTCAAAGAAGCACCTTTTTACTGTTTTATCTAGTTTAGTAGTTTAGTCATTGTGCATGAGATTTTACGGTTTACAGAAAAATATTCAAGGTGTTGAAAGATACTCAAAGAAACTACTTCAAAAATGTTACAAAACTTTCAAATTATATTTGTGTCCGTTTTATATCATTTGTGTATCCTAGGAAATAAACAAAAATCTGTAATTCATATTTATTTCTTTCGGTAATCAATAACATACACATTCATAATTTTATTGATTTAACATTCACTTCTAGGTACGCATTTTCCATTTTTTCTTAAATATCCTGACTTGCAATAACAACTATCCCCACTTACACATTCGTCAGTGCAAACTAGACCTGGTGGATCTGCACAGGTATTCGTGCCGCATGGTTTGCAGGTGAGAAAGACTTCATTTGGGTCCTCGCAACTTCCTGAAAAAATAATTATTTTAATTAATAAAAGAAAGATTAAAACTTTTCCCTTTTTCCATATTTCCCTAATTTTTTCTCAGCAGAATTTTTCCGGAAATTGTCGACCGCTATGCCTTCATTAAACAATTTCCATGCAGTCCCAAAAACAATACATAGGTAACCAATTATTACCAAGAGAACAAATAATTTGATGTCATATTTACAACAACAATGTTTACGTCGAATACTTTGACAAATTCAGAATATAGAACTATTGTTATTGATGGAAACCTCAAGGTTATACAGGATATTCCAATGAAAACTACCCACCTTGAAAATATCGGAATTAAAAAAAACCTGAGACGCCTCGATTTTCTTTTCATAACGGCGTAAGTTTTGATATCTTGGAAGGTACCCCTTAAGCAGGGGCACCCTATGTTGAGTGACACCTCATTTTAAAGCTTTTTCAATTCTGCTCACGATGACATAAATTTGGGTTTGGATATGACAATAAAATTATCACTTAAAGAATAAGACAAAATATCAATGAACGAAAGAATGTTATTTTATTAAACGGAAAATCAAAACAAACAAATTTTTTATCGAGAAATTGTTCTAATGTCGTCAGAAGTGGAACAAAGATTTTATTGTAGGAAAGTGGAGGGGATTCATTGATATTTTCCCATGGAAATAAATAAAGATCTACAAGTTCGTATTTATTTTTGACATGCATTGTTTTTTACATTTTTTAACATTCACTTTGAGGGACGCATATTCCATTCTTTCTTTGATATCGGGGCTTACAATAACATCCCTCCGGACCTTTACATGTAGCGGCGCATATTATGTCTTTTCGGTCTCCGCAGTTTTCTCCGCATGGTTTGCATCTCCAGTGAATCTCATTTGGACCTTTGCAGGAAACTGAAAATATAATTATTTGTGTAGACGAGAGGAAAACGTTACAGAACAAAGCCAATGTAATTTTCCACAAACAAAAGAAGTTTTCAATAAAATGAAATTGTTATTATACATTATCAGTATTGTTCCTTAGGCTAACGCACCTATTTAGTACGTTATGAATCAAACGAGAACTTTTGGCAATATTTTACAATAGAAATGATGATAGAGGAGAGAAGCCAAATAAAGTCGCACTGAAATTATTTTAATTTTAAATTTAACACAACTACAAACTTAAAATCAAACAAATTATTTTTAAAAAATACAGGGTTGTAGATCCTATCTCTTTGATCATAAAAATAAAATTAAAAAAAATTCCAAATCCAAACGTTTCCATCGGTAGATGCTGTTACTAGCTATACTAGCTATACTACTACTACCAAGCTGAATAGCTTGGGTGAAATAAATCGTAAATCTGCAGTAAATTTTTTATTTACATATGTGACAAAATAAGATATAATGTAATGGAGTTCAAGCGTAATAACCATTGAAAAGAATCCGCTATGCTAACTTCTTTAGCATTGGCTTTCAGGGACACATTTTCCGTTTTTCCTCAAGTATCCCTTGTTACAGAAACATCCGGGGTTCAGACAAGCTGCAACACAAACTTCTGGTGGTGTATCGCCACAGTTAATAGCCGCACACGGTGTGCATTCCAAATAAGTCTCTTTTGGATCTCTGCATCTCGCTGAAAATATAATTCGCGTCGTTACGTTATCCAAAATTGTAACAATGTGACACTGGTTGAATAGTCCTCCACCGATGTGTGCAAAGAGAATACGTATCGGAATCAAAAAACACCAACACCGAAAAGCAAGCCTAAAACCAATAGTCAAGCAAAAACGAGCCGTAAGTTTTTCTTGAAAATGGTAGAACAATTATTGCCACGGAGCTTACCAATAAGACCCAAAAGAAATACCAAGATAATGAATACTATTTTTCTTTAAAATATTTCATAATAATCGTGTTAAGACTATTGAATAAAAAAATATATACCTATTGATTTGATACTTAATCATTTGGGGGAGTTAAAAAAACAGTGGTTATACTTTTCAGAACTAGTGACGAAAATTGATAAACGAAACAAAAGCAAACTAAAATTCTATTATTTGTTATTTGTAAACTAATGCAAAAAAATTAAAGGGTCAAAAGAATTTCCGAAATTTTTTCGTGATTTTTGACAGACTGTATTTAGGTGAGATAAATGAACGTATCGGGAATTAAAAAGAGGCATTTTGAAGCTTTAAGATTCTAGTTTTTAGATCTTTCGGTCGAAATTTTTTAGAAGCTACGGTTATCATAAATACAGTCTGTCAAAAATCACGGAAAAATTTCGGAAATTTTTTTGACGCTTTAATTTTTTGCATTAGTTTATATGAAAAAATAATATTTAAACTGCAGTACCACATACATTTCAAAAGGCAGTGTTTTTCGACTAACTTTTCCAAGACGCAGTTTTCGCAAAATCAATACATTAGAAATAGTCCAGACACTGAAGCATATTGGCTACCAATTTTTTCGGATGGAATGGATTGACGTGAAATTTAAACTGTAGCTAGGGAATAGCCCAAGAAACAAAAGTTATATAGTGCCGATGTGTACATTTACTTGATCATCTCGAGGTGATTTTATCAGGTCTAAATCTTAGAATTGATATTTCAATAAACATTGAAGCTCTATAAATGCACTATAAATTTCAAATATTTTTTCATAAAAAAGTCTCGAGGAAAAAAGCTGCTGTGATATTTTGCTATTTTGCCGTTCAAGGCACATTTGATGATATTTTTAACGTAATATTCTTGACAATGTAAGTAAACCGCAAATATCTGAGAAAATTGAAACTGTAACTCCTATAATGCCTACATCGGTGAAAAGAGAATTTGATTTTCTATAATATGATGCAGAAAGATACAGGGCGTTCCATTTGAATTTAAAAAGTTTTGTCAGTTTTAAGTTTTCAAAATGTAACGTGAAAAATGGGGCACTTGTGTTCCATTTAAAATAAGGAAGACGACAGCTACTTCCGGTATAACCGGAAGTGCTACGTGATGGCATTATTTTCATTGAAGAGAATATATCTGATAACCCCCGTAAACAAAATTTCAGAGTCATATTGTCTTCGGTTTCTCTGAAACGTCTAATAGGTCACTTACCGTGAAGAACCCTGTATAATACATACATTTAAAATTTAAATCAACACTTAACTGTTTACCTTCGTAGTTTTCCTTTCAGATTCAACTCCTGTGAAATTATTAAATATTAAAACGACGGTCAAAAAAATAGAACAAATACCAACTTCAATTTATTATCATTTTATTCTTGTATTTAACATTTTCAGGTATGCACATAATATTTATTTAATTGTAGTAGTAATTACTCGACCATTACTGGTAGTAACGATGACTGTAGAAGCGTAGGGGTCCGCAAAAATCTGCTGCACTTGCTGGACACCAAACAGGATAACCATTTCCATAGCAGGAAATGCTAAAAATGTAATTTATAAACATTATATCGATACTATTTTAAGTAACAAACTTAGCTTACTGGTTATAACGAACATAAACAGATAAATATAAATCACCCAGTTGCAAGGCAACATTTTTATTTTTTATGTTCACATACTAGTAGCATTATTCTTCTTTATTATTTCAAATTCAAGTATTCTTCCGATTTAATGATTTAATTTATTGAAATAAACACTAAGTAATACGATGTACAACATGAATCATTCCAATTATTCGTAGATAAAAATTGTAGGTAGAATTACTTACCAATAGCACTCACAAATGCTATCATTACAGAAAGCGAAACAACGAAGCAGAGAAGTTTCATCGTGTAACTTAACGAAGCTCTTTGATACTGAATGTAATAAGTTTTTGATCTGCCTAAATACACGAACGTAATCTCTTTTGTCAAGGATACTGTTTACAACATACAGAAACGTGCAATTTTCAAAAGAAAAGCGCACGCTTTAGTACCTCTGAGATTATTCCCAATCTCTTTTCCTAATCATTGACACATATTAAGCTGAGCCAAGTGAAAATATGTAATTAATGCTTAAACAACATTAACATTAAAAAGATAAAAAATGGTATGTATATATGGTACACATCAAAATTTGATTTTAAACATTCCACATCTTCATATTTTTTTGTTTATACTCTACTTTTACTAAAAATATTACTCTAATTAAAAAAAATCAAAGTTTTTTTCTAAAAATCTCATCCAATGAACTCAAACAATGTTCTTCAATACCTGCTGCTCTTCATAAGCGTTCATATTCTGCTTAAATTTAAACTGTTCACTATGACAATAGAAAATCGTCCCATGAACTTAAGTCCGGGTTATATTTTTATCAGTTACTACAGTAACAAACTATTTCCTTTTTTTTATTACACAATAAATGAATAAAACAAGAAAGTAATTTGTTTAAAAATGCATTTACTGAAACTGCAAAATTATAGGTTTTTTAAATTGCTTAGCACCCATCCTCAGGAACACAAACGCCATCTTTCCTTAGATACCCAGTGTCACAGTAGCAACCAGGATTCCGGCACAATGCGATGCAGGCTTCAGGAGCTACATCGCCACAACTGATTGCAGCGCATGGTTGGCACAATAGATATACTTCATTTGGACCGCACTCTGAAAAAAACAAAAGTTTGAGAAACTAAAATCTTTATGATATAATCGTGTCAAAGAACAAGACAAAACTGTCAAACTAGTTTTTATTTAGATTAATAATTCTTTTGAAATTTTAATCATGACCTAAATGAATATAGAGAAACTCTATTGTTTTGTACAATACTAAAAAGAAGTAATATATGATAGCTGACAACATTGGATTAAACCGTATTCAGCAAACGATTTTTGTAAGATTATTGTGATTTAATAAAATGAATCATTCAAATTTAAGAGAAGAGTTTATTCTGTGTATTAGGAATGTAATTACATTAAAACAACACTTACCAGCGTTCGTCAAAGCGAAGATTAAAGATGACAACAGACAAGTTAGTAGAATGAATTTCATTGTGCCACTCAACAATAATGCCTTTTCCTATTATGAATATTTTTATTTCAGCTTTCTTTTATAGAGCATGTTATCTATTTATCTTAAAAAACATGTTATTACTGCCCACAATAATTTAATTAGATTATTATGTTTTGTTGGAACTTTGTACCACAATAAAAAAATTAACTTGGAAGATAGAAAACGACTTAACAATCTTGATGCGAATGCTGATTTTATTATATCTAAGTATTATTCTAAATAGTACAAATTTTATATACTTTTTTATTTTTATGATTTGAAAGAGTAAATATTGTAATTCCCCTGTAATACAATCTGATAAGCTTTTTACAATTATTATTTTCAATTAAATATTCTTTATCTAATAACTAACTTCTGTAATGGTAAACAAATTTATTTGCCTTGGCAAGATTGTGTCGATTATGATAACTTATATGACATACAGTTTTCTTGGAAAAGAAAATAGATACTATATAATATTTTTTTAAGATTATAAGGCAGATAATGTCAAAGGAATACCATATTAGGCAAATACTTGCCTAGTAAGTTGCCATATGTTGAATAAAAGGTAAAAAATACCAGTAATTATAATGTAGTCCATGGAATAGTTGTTTCTCACAGTATCAGAAATCAGAAGTTAGCAATATTGCCTGTGAGATTGAATATATTTTACATAGGTACCTAAATTTGGTGTCGAAGAACATTGACGTTATTTGATAAGATTTTTAAAAAATAAGTTGTTTGAATTAGTAGACAAAATTCGTTACCAATAGCACTTGCAACTGCTACTACTGCAGTCAGCAAAACAACGAAGTAGAGACGTTTCATGGTGGTAACTTGACGAAGCTCTTTGGTACTGAATCTCTTTTGTCTAATCTCTAATTAGTAATCTCTTGTCAAGGTTAATGTTAATAAGTTATAGAGAAACGTGCAATTTTCGAAAGAAAACCACATTTTTGTAGGTATTTCTATGATAATTCCAAATCTTTTGGTCTAATTAATAACACATACTAGGCATGAGCAGTGAATATATGTAACTATTGCTTAAACGACATTTAAAAAAGTAAGAAATATGCACATAGCAAATATGTTTACAAATTTGAAAAATATGTTTTAAGATTATGATAATTAACATTTTTCATTAATTAATACAGTTGTAATTGTAAAACGGTACATAACTACTAATAACTAACTAGTTAACTACTAATTAATAATAATTTCATTCACAAAATAGGTGGTTCCTACCCAACTGAAGCTATGTCCTGTCCAAATGTGATTATCATCTCTATCGGTTTCGAAAACTCAATACCTGTGTATGTTTTCAGCCACGAAAATTTAATACTTCCAAATATTTCGAATTTTCACCACCAAGAACGGCGGTGACAACATTGTTAACATTAAGGCGATGTTTTGCATTATATTAGCTATGTCCTGTCCAAATTTGATTAATGTAACCCTCTCGGTGTCGAAAACTCAATACCTGTGTATGTTTTCAGCCACGAAAATTGAATAATTCCAAATACTACCAGTAACGGCGAGGACAATATTTTTAATTGTAATATTTCACCATACATAAATATAAAACAATGCATTAAGCAAATAGCGTATAATAATAACTATTAATATACGAGAAGTATAAAGATATATAATGCAATAATTTGACTTTTATCGTTAAAAAAACACAGTTAACATTATTTTCAGTATTCAGTAATTGTAAAATAATAATCCTTATCAAATAAAAGTGTACTGTTAATGGTCAATAACTGCTTTCATAATAAGCTTTGTTGCTAACTTTGATAAAAGAAAGTAGGTATATATTGTTAATAATTCCTTGAGATATAGAAATTTTTCTTACCTTAATTTCTTATTCTGCTTAACTTCTTCTTTTGTTCTATGAAAGAGCTTTTATTTGAAAACAAATTAATTTAAGACATTATCAAAATTAATTAAATAACAATATCCAATTATTTGGATTTCAATATTAAATCTAATACCAGTTTGTTTTATATTAAGGTTTTATATCTTTCGATCACTCTCTAACACTCTTATTTCGTCTCTTGTTGGTCCTTTCTCTCTTCTAATCCTTTTCTGAACCCTCTAGCACAACTTCTGTCCTTGTCTTATCATCTGTCAATTCCTTGTTAATTGTCTTCTTCCTAATATTTTTCTTTTCTTCCAAATTTTAATTACCAATCACATTTTTTTAATTTCGAATATACTTTACTATATTTCTTTAAATTTTGTTCGTTATTCCTTTTTTTGCAAAAATTTTAATTGATCATGTACTAATTTTATTTATTTTGTCTTTCCTTTCTCAATTTCCACCATTTACTGTACTCCTATTGGTCACACTTATTCAACTTATAATTTTTCTCTTTAAAATCAATTTTATGTACTAATTTTATCTTCAAAAATTTACCTTTCCCTTTGATAATTTAAAAAATCTTTGACTCAACTCATTCTATTACAACATAATTTCTTTAAGTTATATTTATTTAAGAAAAACTTTCAAAGAAGCACCTTTTTACTATTTTATCTATAGTTTAGTAGTTTAGTCATTGTGTATAAGATTTTACGGTTCACAAAAATAAGTTTATAGAAAAATAATCAAAGTGTGGAAAGATACTCAAAGAAACTACTTAAAAAAATGTTAGAAAACTTCCAAACAACATTTGTGTCCGTTTTGTAACATTTGTGTATCCTATGAAATAAACAAAAATCTGTAATTCATATTTATTTCTTTCGGTAATCAATAACATACACATTCATAATTTTATTGATTTAACATTCACTTCTAGGTACGCATTTTCCATTTTTTCTTAAATATCCCGACTTGCAATAACAACTATCCCCACTTACACATTGGTCAGTGCAAACTAGACCTGGTGGATCTGCACAGGTATTCGTGCCGCATGGTTTGCAGGTGAGAAAGACTTCATTTGGGTCCTCGCAACTTCCTGAAAAAATAATTATTTTAATTAATAAAAGAAAGATTAAAACTTTTCCCTTTTTCCATATTTCCCTAATTTTTTCTCAGCAGAATTTTTCCGGAAATTGTCGACCGCTATGCCTTCATTAAACAATTTCCATGCAGTCCCAAAAACAATACATAGGTAACCAATTATTACCAAGAGAACAAATAATTTGATGTCATATTTACAACAACAATGTTTACGTCGAATACTTTGACAAATTCAGAATATAGAACTATTGTTATTGATGGAAACCTCAAGGTTACACAGGATATTCCAATGAAAACTTCCCACCTTGAAAATATCGGAATTAAAAAAAACCTGAGACGTCTCGATTTTCTTTTCATGACGGCGTAAGTTTTGATATCTTGGAAGGTACCGCTTAAGCAGTCACCCTATGTTGAGTGACACCTCATTTTAAAGCTTTTTCAATTCTGCTCACGATGACATAAATTTTGGTTTGGATATGACAATAAAATTATTACTTAAAGAATAAGACAAAATATCAATGAACGAAAGAATGTTATTTTATTAAACAGAAAATCAAAACAAACAAATTTTTTATCGAGAAATTGTTCTAATGTCGTCAGAAGTGGAACAAAGATTTTATTGTAGGAAAGTGGAGGGGATTCATTGATATTTTCCCATGGAAATAAATAAAGATCTACAAGTTCGTATTTATTTTTGACATGCATTGTTTTTTACATTTTTTAACATTCACTTTGAGGGACGCATATTCCATTCTTTCTTTGATATCGGGGCTTACAATAACATCCCTCCGGACCTTTACATGTGGCGGCGCATATTATGTCTTTTCGGTCTCCGCAGTTTTCTCCGCATGGTTTGCATCTCCAGTGAATCTCATTTGGACCTTTGCAGGAAACTGAAAATATAATTATTTGTGTAGACGAGAGGAAAACGTTACAGAACGAAGCAATATAATTTTCCACAACCAAGAAGACTTCAATAAAATGAAATTGTTATTATACATTATCAGTATTGTTCCTTAGGCTAACGCACCTATTTAGTACGTTATGAATCAAACGAGAACTTTTGGCAATATTTTACAATAGAAATGATGATAGAGGAGAGAAGCCAAATAAAGTCGCACTGAAATTATTTTAATTTTAAATTTAACACAACTACAAACTTAAAATCAAACAAATTATTTTTAAAAAATACAGGGTTGTAGATCCTATCTCTTTGATCATAAAAATAAAATAAAAAAAAATTCCAAATCCAAACGTTTCCATCGGTAGATGCTGTTACTAGCTATACTACTACTACCACTATTCAGCTTGGGTGAAATAAATCGTAAATCTGCAGTAAATTGTTTATTTACATGTGTGACAAAATAAGATAAAATGTAATCGAGTTCAAGCGTAATAACCATTGGAAAGAATCCGCTATGCTAACTTCTTTAGCATTGGCTTTCAGGGACACATTTTCCGTTTTTCCTCAAGTATCCCTTGTTACAGAAACATCCGGGGTTCAGACAAGCTGCAACACAAACTTCTGGTGGTGTATCGCCACAGTTAATAGCCGCACACGGTGTGCATTCCAAATAAGTCTCATTTGGATCTCTGCATCTCGCTGAAAATATAATTCGCGTCGTTACGTTATCCAAAATTGTAACAATGTGACACTGGTTGAATAGTCCTCCACCGATGTGTGCAAAAAGAATACGTATCGGAATCAAAAAACACCAACACCGAAAAGCAAGCCTAAAACCAATAGTCAAGCAAAAACGAGCCGTAAGTTTTTCTTGAAAATGGTAGAACAATTATTGCCACGGAGCTTACCAATAAGACCCAAAAGAAATACCAAGATAATGAATAATATTTTTCTTTAAAATATTCCATAATAATCGTTTTAAGACTATTGAATAAAAAAATATATACCTATTGATTTGGTACTTAATCATTTGGGGGGAGTTAAAAAAACAGTGGTTTTCCTTTTCAGAACTAGTGACGAAAATTGATAAACGAAACGCCTCAATGTGTCTTCTGCCCATTTGATCTTGTAACGAGCGTTCAAATAAAAACGTGGTCAAGTTGGTTCTGAAAATTTGGACGTAGGGCGTAGCGTATAGCAAATGAACTTAAACGTCATCTGTCAAAGCGCTGTATCGCCGATGTCAATTTGAATATTTTCGTTTTAAAAAGCGTTTAAAATGGTGTTTTCTCAAGGACAAAAAGTGTTTATCATAGAGTCCTACTTTAGAAATGGACGCAAGATTGATGGAATATGGAAGTATTCTATTGAGGCATGTTTCATAGAATTTCAAAATCAATTTCCCGGCGTTGTTGAGTACAAAATTTTTCAAAGTGCAGTTCAGCGTTGTGTTAATGTTTTTCGTGAAACGGGCAGTGTAACAAGAAAAGAAGGAAGCGGCCGACCTAAAAAGCGGACTGAAGAATTAAAAGAAAATGTCCAACAAATAATGGAAAATGCGCCAAGAACTTCTGTACGTGTTTTATCACAAATGGTGGGAGTATCAGTCGGTACCTGCCACACAGTGTTAAAAAAAGATTTGCGTTTGTTCTCCTATCGTTTAACTTGTCAGCAAGAACTTCATGAAGTTGATTTTCCGCGACGGGCTGTATTTTGTGAATGGTTTTTAAACAACTACGGTGAACTTCATAATATCACCTTTTTTTCTGATGAAGCCTGGTTTCATTTAAGTGGTTACGTAAACTCACAGAATATGAGAATGTGGTCTTCTGAAAAACCAGATAACTTTTTTGTCGAGGGCCCTCTACACGCTCAAAAAATTGGAGTTTGGTGTGCTCTCAATCGAAGGAGGATTTATGGACCTATTTTTTTTAATGGTACTCTTACTGCGCAAAGGTATAGAGAAGAAATTATCGCTCCTTTTGTTAACCAGCTGGAAGAAAACGAAATTACAAACTTTTACTTTCAACAAGATGGCGCAAGGGCACATACGGCAGGCGAGACGATGAATATGTTGAGGGAAGTTTTCCAAAATCGACTAATAAGTCTCAATGCTGAACATGAATTTCCACCGAGGTCATGTGATATTACGCCGTGTGATTTCTTTTTGTGGCCTTACCTTAAAAACACTATTTTTGAACTGCCTATTCCTGATTTAAACCATCTGCAGGCTCGACTTATAGACAAGATTCGTGAAATTAACAATACCCCGAGCATCTTAGAAAATGTCTTTAATTCTTTGAGGAACAGGTGTGAAAAGTGCTTGGAACAAGGAGGGGGACACTTTCAGCAGCTGCTTTAATTTATTGTTATAACAAGGAGGGGGACACTTTCCGCAGCTCCTTTAATTGTTTGTTATTGTTATCACGATTATTCTTTAAAATAAAGTTATATAGTCATTAACGTTATTGAAACTGACAGCTGCTATACAGCTCGTTGAGAAATGAGGTTAAGTTGGTCGCTATAAGCTACGCCCTACGTCCAATGTGTCAGAGCCAACTTCGACCACGTTTTTATTTGAACGCTCGTTACTTATATAATATCTAATATCTAATAAATAACGCAAAATTATGCAAATACGTATATTTATAAAAAGTAAATACAAAAGTAACGAATACAGCTGTTTAAAGATCAGTAAATTAAGAAACATTTCCGTCGTCTCTGGTTTTTCAACACTGGTTCTTACGAACGCATCTCCCTTTCTTTCTTAAGAACCCAGTGTTGCAGTAGCACCCTGGATTACGACAAACGGCGATGCAAGCTCCTGGCGCCGTATCGCCACAATTGATTGCAGCACATGGTTGACACTCGTAGAAACGTTCATTTGGACCGCTGCACTTTCCTATAAACGTTATTCGAATATAACAATATAATAAAGAACGATCCTCCGTTGATTTTTTAATTTTATTTCTTCTACTTTCCCTTTTGTTTATCAAAGAATATGAAACACTTTTCATCTACAGCAAATGATTGAATGGTTATTTGGTGCAAATGTAAATCTACTTACCTACCATTTCGGTCAAGACGTTTTAAAACATTTTCGCGCAAAAGGTAAATAGTATTTGTTTTAATGCAAAAATTTCGCAATGCTATCTACATAGTTCTTTTCATATATGTTGTAGAAATAAAAAACTCTTATATTGCCGATAACGACAAAAACGGGGTCGTAAATACTTGTCTGCTTAGCAGAACAGGGTCGTATTTAGGCAAAGTTGACAGAATATAATATTTAAGTCTCTCTTCAAACAATTCACAACAGACACTACCACACAATGGCTTTAAATTGAAAAATAATTTGCAGGGAATTACAAATGTTGCCCAATAAAAAACTTGTAATAAAACAAACATCACACTCTACTCAAAACTCTACTCTAAGAAATAAGAATACGTCCGGTGAATCAAGATCCCGGAAAAGCGGAGGAATCTTTAAATTGAATATCTGACAAAATACGTAATTATTGATTAATATCACTCTATTTGTTATGAATTTTGTATTCAATTTGTCTAGATGAGTGTACCTGATAAGAGCATTATGATTTGTGAAATAAATTAGCTGTTATAACATTTATTTTCTACGAACATTTAAAAATTGTCCTACTCTCCCTCTATCACACTTACCGGCAGACTTTGGCATTTTTTATATCTACTATAAGTATGAAAAGAACTTGTACAACGTTGTAGATAACGAATGAAATGTGTTGTTATCACAAAATAATGACAACTTCATAAAATTACAACTAACTGCCATTCTAGACTAATTACCATTAACTAAGGATATTCATCAAATATTGTTAAAATTATAGTATCAATGGCATGAAAATTAAATTTTTTTGTTCAATTTTTAATCAATGATTTTTTTTACGTAGATTAGACGGCTTTAAGTATCTAGGTACTTATTTTTATACATTAATTAAAAGATCAAATAATAAGCATTATTTTATTTATAACAAAAAAAAGGAAAAGTTAGTATTAAAATTATTTTTTCGTTCCTCATTTCTGTAAATATGTAAATATTAATTTCCTAACAATTTCACTTCTAATCTTACTTACTATCTTACTAGGTATCATGGTAATAAATATTAAATCGTCTACATGTGGTAATAAAATTTTTATTCTGTAAATAATAAAAATAAAACACCGGCATTAATTAATTAATATGTATATGTTGCTTTATTGGTATAGACATTTACATAACGACGTACCGCCAAACTAAATAGAATTAAAAGTTATTAAGAATTCAATGTTTTTAATTGGTTTCTTTGTAACTGATTACAAATTCAGAAACCGGAAAAACAGAGTAGGTACTTTCGTTCGTATTTTTTTTATGGTAGACGTCTTGGCCTACTTGAACTTGACACCATACCTAGTGAACTTATTTTGTCAGATAACGAAATAAATAATTTTATATGGATATTACACTAGACATAATTATTATATGCAACTTCTAGTCTTTGCGCTTTTGTTAAGTACTTTAAATGAATAAAATAATCATAATAAATTGTACCACGCTATCAAATATGAAAATTAAAATAACAAGGACCTTAAGATACCTCAGATTTAAGTCTACAAGATTTGTGATATTTTATAAGATGAAATAAACTTTCCACCAACCTCCAACAGTGATAGATAGAAGGAGCTTTGAAAAAAATGTTTATTATACCACAGCTCAACATTGAAAAGGTTAATTATGTACTTACCAGCAGCACTTGAATATGCTATCATTACCGTCAACAAAAGAGCGATGTATATGAACTTCATGTCTGTAATTTGCACGGTTCTTCTAATCTCTACTAAGTACTGACAATCCAGACGTTCTTATATATAATATAACCCAAGTAGTTTTCCCCAAGGTTAATGTTAAAAATAATAATAATAACACCTAAATGATTAAATATAAGTTAGTAAAAGGTATTCCCCCTATTTGTATACATATATTCACCTTCCGTAAAATAACCACGTAAACAAATACCTACTTAATTATACTTATATGTGGTTAAGTAAATGTTTATCAGGTTAATTTGAATATGTGTTGTTACTGTATCTTCGTGGATATAATTATCTACTAATTAGGCAATATTTTTATGCCTCCTTTTGTTCGTATCTGTTTCTGTTATAAACGAGATACGTATATTTGACTGAAGGTTAATACAGTCACAAAAATTTAAATACAAGGTTTTCGGCATCGTTCAAATTTTATCACCATAAAGGAGACTTAAGATTAAAAATCAAAGAAGTGGTAAATCTACCTGCATAGGCCTATGAAATTATAAACAGTAAATTAATTGCTTAATCTTGGACTAGTACATGTTTACAGAACACTTATTCAAAATCTTCCTACATGTCTCTGTGTAAGAAATTAAAGTTGCTTTCTTACTTTCTGTTATTACCTGCCAAATTAGCATTTAGTTTTATTTCTTTTATGTCGTCAGATAAAATAGTAATATACAAAATAAAAATATAGGTCATGTTCGTACTTCTTATTACATTTTATTTATTTCAAAATATGGAGCAGTTAAAAACGACCTATTGTACTCATAGCCTAAATAACATATTACCATACAAAACAAACATTGCCATTAGGATCCTATGAAACATGTTCTTATTTTTATGTAATATATAAACGACAAATAATCAGTTAATTCTTGTGGTTTTGAGTTGCCACAAAAAGTATTTTAATTTTATTATATCATTTAATTTCGCGCTACCACTTAATAATTTCACTTTTTTATTTATCATAATACAATGTTTTCTAATATTAAAAGGAAATCCCCCTCCCACTTTAAACGACAAATAATTCCCACATATTGTTTCTTTTTGCAAAAGCAAGATTATAAATATGTATAATAGAACAGATTCAAAATTTGAATTCCCGCTTGTAGCAAAAATTAGGTAGTGCTGCAATTCTATAAACAATATTTCGTAAACACAGTTGCATACCATTGAGAACGAAAATCTAATGATAGCTAAAATATAGAGATCAGTGCACTCACTGGAAACCAAGAACATTTTTAACATATATTATATATCTACAAGAATTTGTGTGCTAGTTTTATATAATATTCAAATTTAATCAATAATAATAAAACAACAACTATATACAGATATTTTATCTCTTTGAGAAGACAATGTGTTTTATGCAACCACTCATACACAGAGCAGTATTACTGGTGTCATAGCAATGTTATTATTTTTATACAATTAAATTGTATGTCAACAATATTGAAACTTAATTTCGAAGTAGTATAATATTCATTATTAGTTATTACTAAAATAATGAAAATTAACAATTTATTTGAAGAAGTGTACAGAAAATGTAAATTATTTTAGGACTTTTGTTTTTACATTGTTGGCGTTCTTGATGAACAGTGCAGGAAATTTGACAAATTGAATAAAATTTCTTAAATGCAGTTTCAAAAAACAAAAATATATTTTCATAACTCCTCATAGTGCTGGAGAGCAAAATAATATTTCTCTACTAATAAAACTAAATATAATTTTATGTGCAAGTATTATTGATGGTTACTGAAATATACCGTTATGTTTACATAAATTTAACCGATGGTATCTGTGTAAGCGCGTCTTCCTACAGTAACTAACTTCAGATCGGTGTGAGAAAATGACAACCGTGGATCTAACAATTTCGTTAAACGCTGATGTTTATTCCAGGGACAATTATATTAAGTGCTGTTAAATAATAATGTGAAATAAAATGGTTTTAATCAAACGTTGTGCTCCATAGTGAAATTAGTTTATGTTAAAATAAAGCAAAAGCGCACATCAAAATGGCAGGCCGAAATCGTCCTGTCCAGCATAAAAATTTGTCAACAATATTTTCAAAATTACAGGGTGCATTTTCTGATGTGGTTACACATCCAAAATATGCAACAGACAAAAGGACTTTGGACAAAACTTGGAAATTAATGGACAAAGTTGTGAAATTGTGTCAGCATCAAAAAATGAATTTAAAAAATTCGCCCCCTTTTATTTTAGATATTCTGCCGGACACTTATCAGAGATTAAGACTTATTTATTCTAAATATGAGGATAATATGGCGGCCCTACATTCTATCGAACATTTTAACATATTTATTATTAACTTGATGCGGAAGTGTAAACAGGCTATTAAATTATTTAAGGAGGGTAAAGAGAAAATGTTTGATGAGAATTCTCACTACAGAAGAAACTTAACGAAACTTAGTTTAGTATTTAGTCATATGTTAAGTGAACTTAAAGCTTTATTCCCTAACGGAGTATTTGCTGGAGACCTGTTCCGGATTACGAAGTCGGATGCTGCTGATTTTTGGAGGACTAACTTTGGGAATAGGTGAGTAACATATATGTCTTAAATTATGAATATAGAAAATACTACATATATCATAATTAATTGTTGAATATATTATCAGACTAACCAGATTTAAATAAATTTTTATGTTAATGATGATGAGTTGAATAAAATATTAATTGATAACTGCAGTTAAAGGCTTGGCCAACACCTACGTTGAAAAAATTCTGATTATCGGTTACCAACTTCGTTATAATTATAATTTCATTTAATTATTTGGATCTCAATATTCTCACTATAGTTCATTCTATTTTAAAAGCTTCATCAAACCGTGTCTAATAAATTAACTATGTGGTGAACATTTCTATAAAAATTATACATTAGCCAAATCCCACACCTTTAATTACCTCAATTTTGTTAACCATAGAAGGTTCCCAACAGGATTCTTCTTTGGTCATTTACCTTTTAGATTTTATACCCAGACATTTGTTGTTTTAGAAACATAATTTATTTTACAATGTCTATTTTTTAATAAGAGAATTAAATTAGCAAACATGTTTAAAGAAATTGGCCTGCAAAACTAATTTCTGTTATTTTTTTACTTTTGATATACTTTTGATATATTCGGTTGTGACTGTTCTGTATCATCTAATCTGTATCACGAAGCGAATTCAATATTAAGAATTAAAATCATAATTTATCAGTAGTGGTTTTATGAGGAAAAATATCAAGGATATGTCGAGATAAGGCAGTTGTGGCTCCATATGTTTTCCTGCCACAATGGAAAACGCTCTTGTACTGTATGTTGTCTGCCACCAACGCCCAATTTTTTTATGAGCTCTGTTATGTCCATTCATGAATTAAAATATACTTAATTTAAGTTAATATTTAAAGTAAGTAAAACTTAAATCAGAAACCAAATAAAATATAAATAAATTGAATCAAAAAGACTGTCTGTCATGGTTCAAATTTAGAAAGAATAAAAGAAATTTAGAAAGAATTATAATTTTGCCAGATTCAACTATGATCACACAAGTGTGAGTTCATCGAAATATTAGCAGTCCAAATTGTGCTCCACCATCACCAAATTTTATTGAAGTTCAATATCATAGAAAACATTGGTTTCATGGTTTTTTGTACAAACTTTAATTCTTAAATATTAAGTAAGTAATTTTTGTTAGTTTACCGAACCTGATTTTATCATACCTAAGTATATATTTATTTATTATGTTAAATATAATCGAAAACAAATAAATTTATCTTAACAAATCTGTTTGTCTGGAAACTATCACGTTTATAGATGTGTGAGTATTGATCACAATAAAATATTGACAATATTAATAGTCAAAACTCGGTTAAATTCTATTGATATCATTTTTCTAAAGCCATGCAGTTGTTACATTACATCCTAAGCGAGATCCTAACTTATCTTTCCTGATAGAGAAATATTTTTCTGCGTTGTCTTTCTTCTAGAGATATACAGTGTAGGAAAGTACCGATGGTCTATCAGAAGTTACGTAAGAGCGATAAAGTAAGTCATAGAAATCCATGTGATAGACAAGGATGGCTATAAGAAGTGGATCTTATTTGTGGAAGGGCGAAATGAGCGTTGACTATTAGACGCCTTCATTATAGCCACCCTTGTCTATCACATGGATTTCTATGGCTTACTTTATCGCTCTCGCGTAACTTCTGATAGACCATCAGTACTTTCCTACACTGTAGGTATAGGTACCTAGATATTTTGAAGTTAGCACAGCTTTAATAAAAATGAACTAACAAGGGACATACAGAACCGATTATAGAACTCACAAAAACAATGGGGTAAGCCATCTATTTACAATTTTTTCGAAATATCCTTCAATACCTGCTAAAGTGCTTTTTCTAAAAACTTGAAATTTCTTATACAACTCACTTTTTTCTATGCTTTTGTTTTAAAAGGAAATTGTGATAATGTTTTTCTGAGTCTATTTTATTTGGTGAGAAGAAAAAATGTTTCTTCTCATTTTCCTGCAATGTTTTCCATTTTTCTGTCCTACGGAAAAAATGTAAACAACTAAGTATTGTGAAACATTTAGTAAATTTCAAGACAATTGTTTTCCACTTATTAAATAAATAAGATAAAACGTACCGATTTTGTAGTTCCTCAAGGATCGGTTTTAGGGCCTTTATTACTTAATTTGTTCATAAATGATGCAGTTAGATTGCTTATTATACCACTATTTCAATAATTAATTTACTGCATCGCCTGCTTGCTATGAAATCTGTAAGAGGTCTAGACCATTATTTCCCGGTACATTTCCCCTTTGAAGTAGGTCGTACGAATATGATGGAAACGCGGAGAAGTCTACGCAAGAAATAATTAGAACCATTCCCGGAATTGTTCCATAACGACCGACTGGCATTGTTGGATTCCTGTCAAAGGCAGAATATGTTCTACATGTTTGCCGTTGGTGCCTGATGGGTTTTGTGATTAAGGAAAATTAAATTATCATCTGACACTCGTGATCCCCAATAATTATAGTCGCCTATCGGGCGTACTGCGAATCGTAGACGTAGTGTAACGCTAATAACAATTATTATTAATGTGACCTTCTTTCCCGGACTTTATTGGCATTCGATGTAATGTGGGTACGACGTTATGTTCGTACATCGTTCTAATAACTAGAAAGTGCCTCGATCTGTTCGAGAATTAATATCTTATAAATATAAATATGAATTATCAAGTAAAAACGACACATTTCCTCTCTAAACCAAACCAACACCAGCTGACGCCATAAAAACTCGGCTAATAGTACAATTTTAACACAAATGTGTGTCTAATTAAGAGAAAAATTCCTAAAGCCTGCTGCAGCTGATGTGGTTACTTGCCAGATATTTGGCAAACGTGAACGAATGCCGTATCGTGTGGATGATGCATATCGATATATTTGAAAGCAAATATTCACCTGTGCTACACAAAAGGCACACCAACGAATTGTACGCTGAAGAAAATAAAAATAGGTACAATCAGGAAGAAAACGTATCTAGTACAAAATAAATCATAACTGATGACAATGTATTATAATATCGACATTTATATTTATATACATTACTACGCGAAAATAAATTTCTTTGACATTTTAATAGCTTTTATTCAACACTTGTATAAATGATACTATAATTTCTTTGGTTTTAAAGGAATAATATGGCATATAAGTCACTAGTGAGTTATAAGTCATAAGTCACTAGTTAGTTATGATTTATAACCCACTAGTAACTCGTTTAAATCATAAAATGACAAATGTTTGCTTTATTTTTCTAGTTTTTATCAAGAAACCAATTTGAAACAGTAATAAGTCAACAAATAACCTAAAATGCTACAAACTTCCAATCTACCTACTTATTAATAATAAACATTAACATTTATGATAAAGCCGTAGTTTGTGATTGTGGTAAATTTATAGAACAGGTTGCGCCTTTTCTTGTGCTTGCTTCAGGAGTTTACCCCCCTTGTATCTTTTTAGCAATATCAGTTTTGCTGGAAATTGACTCTTCCATATACTCTTCTGACACGGTAGATGATTCCCATCCAGCTCTTTCTAAGACCTTGGATTATTTTGTTTGAAAATGTTTGTGCTTAGGCTATAGGAATGTCACCAGTCTTCCGAATTTAGAAATTTAAATGTTCTTGTAAACTCTCAAAGTTGACTTCAACATGGAATATTTAGTCCACAATGTGGTTGGAGCTAATTTCTCACTTAAATTGAAAAAAATTAGCCAGCAAGACATCCTCATTTACGCTTTTCATGCCTTCTTTGATTTTCCAATCTTGAAATTCCTTCAGTTCTTTGTTGTATATAGATTTTGATTTCTCTGGAATGACGCCTGCAGTAGCCGCATTAGATTTTTCTAAAATTTTAGATGGAATTTCCACATTTTCCATTTTTTCAGTCTTTGGTTTTAGGATTTCAACGTGATTTCCACTAAAAAAATATTGTTTGTTTACTGACAACCCTTGGTTATAGACACAATTTAGGTTGACACTGGCATCTTTGGAAAATTTAAAAATACATTAATTTCGTTAAATTACTTTTTCTGTTATTGACAACTTTAAATTTTAAGTTACTTTTATTTATTATTAAAACGAAATTTTATGAAAGTGTTGGATAAAATTTTGTATGACACTTGTATGAAGTTGTATTCCACGTTTTATTCTATCGCTTTATAAAGTACGACAACACAAATAAATAATTTTAGAAAGCGTATTTAACCATATACGGTAACATCTGTGGATGGCCTTTAAATGGAATTATTTACTGCTAATCCTGACCGCACGGAATGATTTCGAAATCACCGCGGCAACGACAAAAAAAACGTGGAGCAACTTCTCAATCTGCTTAGGACGAGGATGTGGATACACCGCGGCTACGAAATGAATCAGACCTGCATATCAGGAATTTTGTCGGTCATACAGGTACGTTTTCGGAGGAAAAAATTACGAATTCATAAATGATCCGTCTTGTCGAGCCAATCAACAACGCGTGTACAAATAAGACTGCATACCCGGTCTTAAATAATGATCGATTAATCGGGTATTCTAGTTGTGAACTGCCTACTGTGCATTGTATGCAAAAGAGACGGACTTAATTGTTAATCATGTGGAAGGCTGTGGATGCCGATTCGAATTTGTTCGGTAGAGAAATGTGTCCGAGGTGCAATATGTTTATAATATTTATTGAGCATAGTATGCGCTTTGTATGTAGATGTTTCTTTGTTTTACTGAAGTGGTACAAATCAGACCAATTAATCTTTTGACCGAAATAAAATAATTGAGCCGAAAGTTCATACGGACCACTGCAAACGGCGTAAAATTTAAAAAAAGTAATTACTTTTGACAATCATACAATCATCGATCGTTTATACTTGACAAACACCCTAAACTATATTTGAATAATGATTTTTTTTTTCATTTCAACACCCTGTAAGTCAAAAACGAACCGTTTGTCGCTGACATTCTGTATGTGCATATTTTGTATCGGAGTGAAATAATATCGTTCGGT